TACGGAGTAGCATTCAATCGGCGGCCATGAATTGTATCGTTACATTATTCAAGAAAAGAATTAATTGACTAGAGATAATTGGGCCGAATTAGTGAAGTATTTACTATTTAGTGGCTCAATCCCTCGGTGCAATAATTAGCCTCACCTTTAAACAAGCAAGTCCACTATAAAAGCTCATCCCCTTGATGTACATTTCAGAAATCGGTTGAGATGGGAATAGAAGCTCAAGATTAATTTTAAAGGTTTTCAACTTTTTTTCCTCTTTTTTTTGCATTAGTGTTAAATGCTCGATGCATTTCAACAAAAGTTTACCCTAATTGCATTTTCACAAATGTAATGCTACTAACATACTTTTGGTGTTGCTGGGGATGTTACACCGCAAATCACGTATACATAGTATAGGCTTTTAAAACTACAATAGTCATGTTTGATTACATATCTGAAAATGAATTGAAACCGGTGAAATCAAAATCACCTAATTTTTTAACTGTGTATTTTTTGATGAGGTAAATCAATATCCATATATATATATATATATATATATATATATATATATATATTCTATATTTCTATACATATATAAACAGAAAAGTACGTGGGGAGGGAATTTGGGCGAGAATACCGTAGCTTTTAGGAGCAAAATAGTTTTAATTAAAGTTTTCTCGAGTGAATTGAATGATGATATTATGCTAGCAAGTAGCAACAAGATAATTACAGACTGAGCAGTTCATTTAATTTGTTGTATTATCGGAGTACAAGGTATTCAATTACTTTTAGACATATCATCAATGAATATATATGATGCTATCAAGAAAAGTATCGGAAGGGGAACAGTTTACTAAGGCAGGAGAATAATTTGGTGTAATAATTCTTTGGAAAGTGCAATAAGCTATTGAAGTAAATATGTGTCATTTGAGCTTTCTATTGCCGCAATTATTGGAGTCCATCGCTGTAATATACGAAGTGTAGTACAAGAGTGCCTTATAAATTGTAAAGACCATTAATTCGCATGACTGAGGGAGTCAGAGAATTTTTTATAAGTTGACCGAACTGCATGTTGGTGCAAGCCATTTCTTTCGTCTGCCGCATTGATATCAGAATCTTTATGTAGTGCAATCTTTAATTCTTTACTCTTTCAGGTTAATCGATCAAATCCTTTTTACAGTAATAAAGAAATACATATATTGCACTTGAATTTGTATTCTTACTTGGGAATTTTTCCAACTAAAATGTTTGTTTTCATACGACTCTTATCAACTGTGTAACGACTTAAGTTTATTATTGACTGCTACCTGTGGTTCAAAATATTGATACTGCGTATGAACGTTTATTGATATTAGGTTGAATGAATTTGATATGAACGTTTTTATAATCAAGTTTATTATTTACTGCTGCCGAACAACAAGGCAACAACACCTGTCGAGCTAAATATGATACGTAGTACTTTAATTCGTAAATCATTCAGACTAATGAGGCTAATTGAGTTTTAGTGTTTTTTTTCTCCTAGGTAATTCGTCCAAAAATACACCTGTGTAAATGGGTCTATCATGGATATATAGTTTCAATCACAAAAAAATGGATATATAGTTTCAAGTATTCAAATTATTTGTAAAAAAGACAGCAACACTTTTGTTGGCAATAAACTTATATTATATATAAGAAATTAAATTCAATTTGCGGAAAAAACCAGGACTAAAATTGTCGTTTATGTGAAACAGTAAAACTCCAATAGCGGAGGGTTGTCATAGTTTATACTCCCTCTATTCTCTATTAGATGTCCCTATAGGGTTTGACACAGCAAGTTTTAAGAGAAAGATATTAGGGGTAGTGGAAAATGTATAGTGTGTTGTGTGTAAAGGAAAAAGTAGGAAAGAGAATGAGGGTAATGAGTATATTGATTGAAAAACTTACCAAAAACGGAAATGGAAACAATTAATAGAGATCATCCCAAAAGGGAAAGAGTGCCAAGTATTAGAGAACGGAGGGAGTATTATGTTTCACTTAAATAATAATAATAATAATCCAATAAGAAAATATTGTGACCAGTGACTCGGTGAGCTGGACACATAGGGGCCGGGGGCGAGGGGTGACTTCTGTGAAGCCATGAGCTGTGTGACTGTGTCAGTGTGTGAGGTAGTGAACATGAACTTGAATCCTTGGAATTGATAGAAAAGGAAACCCCAATTTAATTCGAGGATGATTTAACTTAAAATTGAGGTCTAGAAAATGGAGAATGGAACCTAAAAAGTGCATAACTTTTTGTTTTGTACTACGTATGATGTACTTTTTTTTTACACAACTATGTATGATGTACTTGGGAATTTTGTGCAGGAGGCTATGAGGCTATAATCATTACTAATATGCTTTTCAAGTATCAAGATTAAGAGCGAGATTGACATTTTCGGTCATCCCTCATCTTTACTCTCAAATGATATCGCGCGATCCAGTGTAATGTGATCTAATTTTTACGGAGTATTTTCCAACCTCATTTTTATAAATAGATTTTCAAAGATAGTTAGTACATACGTAATATCTCATTATATTAATCCTTTCAAAAATACTCATTATATTATCTACACTACGTTTAAAAACCGGCATGCCTCGATTGAATTGACCAGGATACTAGCGTTAATAAGTAAACAAAACCGGTTGGATTATTGATGGAATTGAAAACACAAAAATAGATGAAAAGTGGAAAACCAGGATATTAGCGTTAGTATAAAAAACCAATTTTGGGTTGTTTTTTAAGAAGTTTATATATTTTTATTTAAGCATATTTAGTCTTATGCTACGTATAATAATGTATTCAATTATATAAGAATCATGACGTTGAGCGTTTAAAAAAAGCATCATGACTTTGAGTTAATGGTAGCTTTAGTAACAATGTATAGTAGTACAGTTAACAAATTTGATATCAGTAATTTTTTACAAAAATCCCTCTTAATAATATAATATTGTAATGCATGCCATCTCCAAATCATGCTGTTTAACTTCCTCGGTGACCTTTGTAATCGCTTAGTGGCAAGCCGCATTTCTAAATTTTCAATATGCATTTATCGGTCACAATGAGATACAAATGCAGGAATGAGGTTTGCATGGTTCACGAAAGAAAGCAAGAAGTAGAGTGCTTGGACCTTTGAATATTTCCACTTTGATTCATACTTGTGTTTGGTGAATTGGTGTTTGTATTTTATATTTAGTAAAGTACATAGCATGAAATATGTATACAAATTGTTGGGTTGTTCATTCTTTTTCATGTTAGGTAGATATCATAACTATGCCATACTATATATACCAACCGTTACTACATTTTTGAAGCACTATTAATTAAAACAATAAATCTATGTACATCAATCATCTGTGTTTATATATTACGGAGAATTTGGAATAATGCAATGTGATATAATATCTCCCTCCCAAATTGATTTGCAAAATTGACTTTTGTTAGTTGGTCAAACAATTTCATCTTATTCACTTAATTAGGATACCAATTTTTATTCTAATTTGGAGTTTTAATGTAATTTTTCAATATGTAAATTTTAATTATTCAAAATTGAATTCAATATCAATAGGCTAAGAAGATTTAACTTTAACATTACTTCACATAAAATGTTGACTTTGTAAATCAATTTGGGGCGGATGGAGTATATATATCCTTCAGTATAAAGATGAAGTAATATTATTTTAAACACAAAATTGGTTGTATCAGCAGCATAATGTATCACGAGTATGATTTAATTCCACTTTAATGCATAATAACAGGCCCGTTTGGTAACACTCAAATTGGTTGAATTATATTGATTTATGTTGTTGAAATTTATAAAGTTCTGACTGAAGTGGTTGAATTGGCTGATCCTACTTATTTATGAAATAATTGTATTTAAAATGTTTTTTATTAATAAAATAAAGAAAAAATTATGTGAAAATAGCTAAAGTGATCCTCTACAGTAACTTCAGCTAATATAGCCAGAAAAATAAATCTTGATTTACTTTTTTTATTATTAAACAATTCAGCGTGCGAAATCAAAAGATGTATTTTTGGTTAAAAAAAAAGTTGACTGGTAAGTCCGATAAATGGAAAACAGGGTCACCAAATGGGCTCAACATATTGCCTTTTAAAGGTCTATAATATTGGTAGTGAACTATGTCTAAATAAAAATAGCTAAGGTTGAATATATATTATTGTTATGTTATATACAAAATGTTTTATATGAATTGATCGTGCATTTTTTATATATGAATAATTGGTGATATTATTTATGTTTCTTTAATATTTTTAAAATTTATCATCATTTATTCATTTAAATTTTATATCAATTGTATATAAATTCAATTGCCGTGCATCGCACGGGTATAATACTAGTTGATAGACACAATGGAAAAGTTTGCCTACTCGAGAGATACATGACAGATTCCCTTTTAAAATGAAATGTATTTTGTTAATGAATACTTTTATTTTGACTACTATGTTCATTAGTAATGTATATATATTTTGACATAAATTATCAGTAATTTATCACTATTATCACTTCTATTTATGTTTTATTTCTACTCGTGTCGGGAAAGAAGGCTCATTTTTTGTGGACCATTCTTGGCGTACACAAGATATACACAAAATCTGCACATTGTCTGTGTACACAGACAATTTGACATCAAGTCTTGCTCCTTTTTAAACACATTGCCTGTGTACACAAGTCCTGAAGTTTTGTGTATAATTTGTGTACAAGTCATGTACACTAAGAACTTTTCTTTTTTGGGAAAAAGTCAAATAGGTTCTCGAACTTACTTAAAAAGGTCAAATAAGTTCTTATATAGGAGTTCTGTCCGACTGTCGCCATTTGGGGTAGTTCCCGGTGAATTTTTTTTATAAAATTTTTTGAGCATCGTATTTATTAAGTTTACCCATATCAAATTTCAGCTAACAATTCAATCGGGAAGACATTCAAATGAATTCTTAAAGATAACTGCGCATTTATGTTCAAGAATTCATTTGAATGCCCATTTTTCTTGCCCCATTTTCTAGGAGCCGCCCTGACACGAATTTGGTGAGCAGCAGCCTATGCACAGACATTGGTTCCCATGAAACTGTTTCCCCATGCTGTCAAGATTCCTTCCATATCCAGAAAAGAATGCTGCAGTCTCAGGAAGCCTCTTTTGCCACTGTCTATTTCTTCATCCTCAAACCACTCCTCTGCCAGCAGTGGCTCTCATTTCATCTTCTTACCTGAAATCGTCCCTAACCGCCGACTATTGTCGTTTTTACAGCAATTCTCTACAAACATTTTCTGGGTCGCATCAATTCATGCGCAGATTATTGTAAATTCTCTATCAGCTGACCCTATTCTGGCCACAAAGCTAGTAAAGGCGTATGGTGATTTGGGCTCTCTTGAATCTGCTCGCAATGTGTATGATCAATTTACGGACCCAGAAGTATTTCTTTGCAATGCTATGATGAATGAGTTTTTGAAAAGGGGGCAGTACTCTAAGGTGGTTGACCTCTTTCTAATGATAGGTATCTTAGAAACAAGAATTGATAGTTGCACTTGCACATTCATGCTCAAAGCCTGCAGCGCCTTACCAAATTATTACGAGACTGGGATGGAAATTGTTAGGAGGGGTGTAGGTCGTGGAATGCATAATGATCGTTTTTTTGGGAGTTCTATGTTAAATTTCTTGGTGAAATATGAACACCTTGATTATGCACAGATTTTATTTGATGAGATGGAAAATAAGGATGTTGTGTGTTGGAATTCAATGATGGGAGGTTATGTGAAAACCAATCAGTTTGATAAGGCGTTTCAACTGCTTTTAGGGATGCATAAATGTAACATTGGACTTAGTACTGTAACTGTGGTGAACTTGATTCAGGTATGCAAGGCGATGGGATGTATAAGAGTAGGAAAATGTACTCATGGACTTACAGTTCAGTTGGGAATGGGAAATGATGTTAAAGTGCTAACGTCATTGATCAATATGTATAGTATGATGGGTGACATTGAAACGTCTTCCCTTGTTTTTGATAGAATGCCTACTAGAACTCTGGTTTCTTGGAATGCAATGATCTCAGGATGTGTTCACAATGACTTGGTTCATAAATCACGTGAATACTTTCATGAATTAGTATGTCATGGGATCAGTTTTGATTCGGGAACTCTCGTTAGCCTCCTTCAAGGTTGCTCACAAGTGGCTGACATGGCAAGTGGCAAGATACTTCATGCTTACATCTTACGACGAAGTCTAGAGTCAAGTAATATTTTATTTACAGCACTTCTTGATTTATATGCCAAGAGTGGAGAACTCACGAAGGCAAATTATGTTTTTACTGCAATGAAAGACAAAAATGTTATTACATGGACTGCTTTGCTCGTGGGACTATCTCAAAACGGAAGAGCGGAGGATGCGTTGAAGCTATTCTGTCAAATGCAGGAAGAGAATGTTGCTGCAAATTCTGTGACTCTGGTTGGTTTGGTCTACTGTTGTGCCCATTTGGGGTCCTCACAGAAAGGAAAAAGTGTTCATGCTAAATTAGTTCGTTCAGGTTATTCTTTTGAAATTGTGAACATGACAGCTTTGATTGATATGTATGCCAAATGTGGCAAAATAAGTGTAGCCGAAAGGGTGTTCAATACTGTAGTGGATCGTGGAGATGTTATTTTGTTTAACGCTATGATAACAAGTTATGGTATTCACGGTTTTGGGCACCAAGCTATAAGCATATATGACCAAATGATGTATCGGAGAGTCTCTCCAAATCAAACTACATTTGTTGCTCTTCTAGCAGCATGTAGTCACTCTGGGCTCGTGGAAGAGGGTACCTATTTATTTGAGAAGATGAAAAGTGAACATAAAGTTGAGCCATCTGAAAAGCATTATGCTTGTTTGGTTGATCTTCTTAGTAGGGCAGGGCGTCTTGAAGATGCAGAAGAGTGCATTAAAAATATGCCGTCTCAGCCTGGCACTACTGCTGTTCTTGAAGCTTTACTCAATGGGTGTCGTTACCATAAGAATATTGATATAGGCTTGAGAACTGCAGATAAGTTGCTTCACCTAGACTCCACAAACCCTGGTATATATATTTTACTATCAAATATATATGCTGAGGTAAAGAGATGGGATGTAGTAGATTATATTCGCAGCACCATGAGGACTCACAGATTAAAGAAGATTCCAGGGTACAGTTCAGTTGAAATAAAAAATCAGGTCCATACTTTTTTTGCTGGCGATAATTCGCATTTGAACTGGGAAGAAATTCATCAGTTCTTAGAAGCTTTAAAATCAGTGATAGAAGCTTCTGGGCATGTACCGGACACTAGCTGTGTTCTTCGTGATGTTGATGAAAAGATGAAAGTGAAGTTATTGTGGGGTCATAGTGAGAGATCAGCTATTGCATTGGGACTTCTAAGCACACCACCTGGAAGTGTGATTCGCATAACAAAAAATCTCCGTGTCTGTAATGACTGCCATATGGTTACAAAATACATATCACAAATAGTACAAAGAGAGATTGTTGTGAGAGATGTCAATCGATTCCACCACTTTAGGAATGGGAAGTGCTCTTGTGGTGATTACTGGTGATGAGGGTTAACTAGCTAAGAAATCAAGCTTGGACTAATTTTATTATAGTGGCCTGCTATCAAAGCTCAAGCTATGTGGCGAAAATGGTCTTCCATTGGCAGCAGCAGGGTCAGTTGACTTTATACTAACACTGTTATGATCATTAGTTTTGCTATCTTGTTATCATATGATATGCAGTTCTCTTGGATGTGGTGTCACACTTAAATAGCAGTGCTCTTTAAGAACATATTCCAATTTGGTTCCATGATTTTAGTTAATTTTCACGGTTGGTGTGACTTTGGATTATCTGCCACTTGGGTCTTGTGATCACTCATCCGGCAAAATATCAATCAGAAATTGGTCTGGTAAGTGATTTGGAGGACAAAAAATGACAAGAGATTTGTAGTTGTGCACTAAAAGTGGAAAATGTGAAAGTCGGGAACCAAAGTGAACTTGAGTAAATAATCGTGGGTCCTAAAGTGGAATATTTTATTTTTCTAATCATGTGATTGGTGACTGGGACACTGGGTTTTACATTATGGTGCTATTCGAGTTAAGAGATGCTTGCACTCGGTAATCTTAGTTCTGACTTGAGTGTACTTTTCCCTATCTATATCCAATTTCTTGCATTTACTTCATGTTGAATGCAATGTTACACTCTGTCTACATTTATTATTTTTCACACTATATACATAACAGTTGAGTTTAGAACACTGTCTAAATTGTACTTTGACATTGTACATTCAACCATTCTATCGCTCTTTTCGATAATTCCATCATTTATGTTTTTCACAAGTTTCTACATCATCATCATCATTACCCCAGTGCTACAAAGGCTCCCACCTACGGTAGGGTAGGGGGGGTCGGATGTACGCAGTCTTACCCCTGTACTGAAGCACAGAGAGACTGATACCAGATGACCCATAGTGAAAATCGCGTCCAAAATTGCATAGACTGACCACTGCTTCATAACAAAGAACCGCAGACAGTTCAGTGAGCCATTTTCTACATGTCAAGATTTATTCATTGCAATATAACTTAGAAATTTAACTATTCATTGAAACTCTCCAAGACCTCTTAATGTTCATTCACATGCATATTATTAGCGAGCATGGTTCATGACTTGAGATTTTTTAATCTTTCACAGATTGTAAATTATTTTCTTTTGGATGAAGACTTGGACTACCCTAGAAAGGTGGAGCAATCAGCGGAAACAAATTCAAAACCGGATGCAAGTGCTGTAATGCTACCCTACTCAAGTTTGTGCATTCCAAAGTCACATAGAGTGATCCCTCCCCTCTTTGCTGCAACTTTTGATGAGCCAATTAAACTCTTTACTGATGAGGTGTTAAAGGAGAGTGGCAGAGTGCCACCTATAAAAGTAGTCTTGAGGTTACTTAAGTAAATTTGAGTCCTTTCAAATGAAATTTGGTCGCTTTTCAGTCACAGTGTTCAAAGTGAACAAGGAAATGGCCACTGCTCAGTCCTGATACATAGATTAGCTAAAACTTCAAATACTGTGATAGCCCCTATATCTGCTCCAAATGCTTCTAAAAGAATAATTTTAAATTGTACCTTGACCAGATGTTACAATTGCATTATAGTATGAGTAACTTTCTATCTGCAAAAGTCAACAGCAGGATAAGCAACATGCAATCAAAATTGATGTGCCCTCCCTTGGAGAAACATATATATCCTGCTTGGCAAAGCTGTATCATTCTATAGGTAAGCTGGTAGTTTTTTCACTCCACTTCTTCTTGATAGTGTTTGTCGTTATAATCACGTCCGTCTATTTTTTTAATCAGGAAGCAGATGAAGTGTGTTCTCTATCCGTTCAAGAAAGCCACACTTTTCATTTACATAGTTTTTTTGTTTTTGGATGAACTTTCATTTACATAGTTTTATTTTAACTTAAGTAGCACGGAACGCGAAACAGAAAATGATAATGTAAATATAAAAAAGTACAAGATGAAAACCTTAGGGAAACGCGTAAATATAAAAAAATATCGGGATGTTTTCCCAAAAATGTTTTCATGCATTTTTCAAAAAGGTTTTGCAAATATGTGTGCGTGTGTTATAAATTTTGCTAGGTAACAACAATATGTTAAAATGTAATCCATATTCGTAACAAATTGTGCTGAGAAATGTCAAAATTTTCATTTTGATATGGAGTACAAACATCCATTAAGAAATCTCATAAAAGTCACAACTTGTATCAAGTATCCGCGTATCCCATCAAAAAGGTTAAACGTGATGCCTTAATGTTTCTAATATGTTGATTAAATAGGAAAACAAGTTCCCAATTTCATTTAATTGCAAAAACGGCCCGTCAACAGGAATTTCAAGTTTCTACTTTCTAAGTTTTAAACCTGTCCTAGTTTTCAAAAAGGCAAAATGTATGCTTTATGGACTTTCTGCGCTTTTTAGATTGTAACTAATATTTGTTGTCTGAAACATACAGAGGGATATAATGTACGTAGTATTCATTAGGTGATGATCACATGGCTAACTTTTGGACACTAGATGAAGCAATAGGCACATAGGACTGATTTTGTATAATTTATAATGCCCATTTTTTTGTCTCCCTAGCATAACTCTTTCTGATATTTGGTCTTCGTGAATCGGGAAGTACACTATGCAGTTCATTCTGGTTGCATTCTGATCACTATAAAACAGTTGTTGTTTTTGCTTCAGAAAGCTAGCAAACTCATTAAAAAGAGATCATCTCCAATGGACGGCCAATTGTTCCTAATAAAACATCATTTTATCCTAAGGGTCTGGATTTTAATCTTGGCATTCCATTTGTAACTTTTGCCTTTGGAAATGAACAATTTGTCTTCCACATTGCGCCATTTGATACTGAATTTTCGGTGACGCACAAGGACCCCTTTTTTTCACATTTAATGGTCAGTAACAAACTTTGAGAATTATTATCTGATTTGTGTCATCATATCCTAACTGATGCACTGCTTTTTTGAAAGTGCATGCCTAAACTCTATTGCTTTATGTCCAGGAACAACTCAGACGGATTCTGAGGACAAGCATCAATATTTGATGTATCAAGATCAACTTCATTGCAAGGACATTGTCTCCAGTCTCCACGAGTGTTGAAAAGCCAAGTTGATGCCAAACAGGTATATTTTACTCAAAATAATAAGTATAGTGAAACCTATTGAGATTGTGTTTGAGACTAACTAAATGCTGAACATTGTGTCAGGTGGTTGAGTCTATTCCATTGTAGGAACCGGAGAAAAGCCTAAAACAACATGCAAGGAGTTTATTATGTCTGTGACGAAATTAATTGTGGAGCCCTTGCTTTCTTTTGCTACCAAGGATGGTTCAACTCTGTTTCTTCATGCGAGGAGTAGAGAATGAGTGCACACACATTAATATTATAGGACTAAATGTTTCTTTATGTGAGGAATTATATGTTTGGTCACAATGATGAAATATGAAAGTAACCCAATTTTGAAGCCAAAATCCAATGACTTGGTCACAACTAGACCTTGTTTGTCTCTCTCGGCAGTTTTTTTTAATAAGGGTTGTCTGAGCAATGCAACCAGAAGCTAACTGTATAGAGCAAGATGCTGATGCTGATGATGATGAAATATTCATAATAACATAGTTTAGATAAGACTGGGGCTCCTTTTGGTAGCCTGTTCTGCTTATTGTGCAAATCAGCAGAATAAGTAGCTTTTGACCTTTATATTTGGCTGAAATAGATGTTACCAAATGTTTTGAAGATTATTGCTGAAATGCTGTTAAAGTTGCATTGTCTGGTAGTCAAAATCGAAAGTTTAAGTCTGTTATTGCAAAGCCGCTCAAGGATCACGCCGTTGCCTCTACAGAAAAGATTGCTGAAATTCTTCGAAAGGTACATATGTCCTTATATCCCCACTTTATTAATTTAGTTTCAATCAATAATCCCATTGATCCCTCAAGAAATAATATAGATTCTTACTTTCTATCTTCCTAACCAGGTGAATGCAGAAAATGATTAGGACTTGCCTATGGTGTTGGCAAAAATGAAGCTTTATCTACAGAACCCATCTACTTAATCAATACTTTTCAAACCATTAAAGTAAGATTTATGTTTCGACTATTCATGCCTCCTAGCAACTTGGATTTAGTGAAGAAAGGGTGTTTTGGTTGCATCTTTCTATAGAGATTTTAGTTGGCTTGTGTGTTGTTTCCATTGTCATTGCAGGACAAATATTATCGAAGCACATTCTTAAGTTCAAGTATTGTCACACCTCAAAAAAGATTATTCACTGGAGCATATACCAAATGTCGTAAATACGGGCTGGACATAAAACTTGACAGCCTCCTATAGTTCTCCCGGATTTGAGACACTGTTTTGATTTCTTTCTTTCTATTTCCAATATTAGTGGTCTGGGGCATCAGATTTGAATGTCTCTCAAATGTTGCAGTAGAGAACTTTCCAGTGAGCTTGATTTGACAGTCTAAGCCTTGCTGCTGCATATATAGATGAATTCCATTACTGAAAATATGATATTACAATTTGAGGCAGTTGTTAAAAAGTGCCATTAGAGGTTGGCGTTCTCAGACTGAATGTAAGCATTTGAAACTATTGTATACATACAAGAATTGTGACGCCCTTGAAAAAGACTGCAAATAGAGTAAGGAACGGTACTGGATTTGGCTCACAAACGAGCTGTTACTGTTGACATTAGATAACAGTATAGGCTGTATAGCCGCGAACAGCACATACATTCAGTTGCATTGGAGTTACCTTTGGCTAGTCTGAGTTATGCACTTATAACTTCTTTGCATGTAAATCTAAATACAAAATAGTAATTAAAGCTTCCAAAAATATATTAATTCATGTAACTACAGTCTACAGGAGTAAATGCCAAAGGAAAACGTTTTTGGCCTCCCCATTCTCATGACTGTCCCACTGAGTTAGTGATGTGAAGAATTCTCAAATCTCGAATTTCGATGGCCGGCTGAAAATCATGAATCTCTAACATTTAAAAAACAGCTTAAGCGGATCGGCAAAAGAAATATGATTGGTGGCAATCTATTCAGTTTTATCAAGTGCAACAAGTGTTTCGGCGTATAGTTCCCATTCAAAAGTGACAAGTTTTTTAGAAAATAATTAAATAAAGTGATTTGAGTATATACTGAGAATTAATTTGGATGTGTATATAATTTAAGGGGCTGATTGATAATAATTATGATGTTATAAGTGTATTGTTTTTTTTGAGATCCTTTTGATGCCCGAGTTGCCGCAAAGAACAATTCGAAAAAAAGAGGAAGCATTGAACCATCGAACCAGTGAGCCGATTGTGGATTGCTACCAAGAACGATGTGAAAGCTTTGAGGGCTAGAGTCAGTCCTAGGAAATCCTAGACGGCGAACTGAAGTTGTACAAATCTAATGTCATGGTTTTCTCTTCTTCAATGTTGGTGACATCCTCTGGGCAGTAATGAAATAAAGGTTTTTTTATGTTGTTGCTCTTTTTTTCTACCTTCTAGGGTTTTGATTTTGTCAGGCTTCTTTTATGATCAAGAGTTATGCCCGTTTCATGTGAGCGTGAATTTTGTTTTTCTCCTAGCAGTGTCTACAGGCCTAGGGGAAGACCGTGTCTTCCTCGTAGGTGCAACAAATCAAGTGATTCATTTTTCATGGTTGGCAAGACAAGTTCAACCTAGTCTTTCTGAAATTCACTCTCCCCTGAACCATCACCTCACTCTAAGGAAAAAAATGTCGTTCAATTGGATCTCCTTTTCGGTGGCTGGTCAAACCGATAATTCAGACAATTTCTGCTCAATTGAGTTTCCTTTGTTGATTGCTGGTCAAACACATTCTCTCTTCCCGGTGGCTGGTGGAGCCTTGTATAATAATTACAAACTTTTTATTGCACAAGGCCTAATTATAATAATTAGCACAAGATCCTCTTGAAGTTCATAAGAGACCAGAAAGTTCAACCCAAAAAAAGATCTTCTTGAAGTTTGGGACGAGTCAAATTATAATAATTAGCACAAGATCCTCTTGAAGTTCACCGTGTAGTTCATAAAAGTGATCCTAATCCTTAATTATCCTCAATTATTTTAAGCTAGTAATGGGAGTTAATACTCTCTTTAACTCTCAATTAATATAAAGGTGATTTAAGTATGTTTCACTTGGAGAGGTTAGAGGAAGGAGACGGTCGTCAGTCGTGGAAAACATAGGCGGCTTCGGGAAGTTTTGAGCAGAGGACGGTGGCGGGGTCGAGCTTCGGTGAGGCTTCTCAGCAAACTCGAGCTTCATTTTTCAACAGATGGAAGAGGTGGTCATCAGTACAAAAGGATGACCATAGGGGAAGAAAATAGCAATCTGAATTTTGATGATGAGGAGGATGGAGACCTTGATTCAACCGCAAAGGAGGCTGAATTTCCGGTGGTGGGAGTGGTTCTCACGGATTGTAAAATCAGGGCTCAGGCAGTAAAAGATCTGTTTGCTTCAATTTGGCGACCAAGCAAAGGAATGTCAGTCCAAGAGATAGAAGACAAGAGGTATTTGTTTACTTTTTATCATGCAGTGGATATGAATCGTGTTCTAGAAGCCTAGTTAGTTTTTTTTTCGTTTTAAACGCGTTTTAAACACGTACCATTTTTTGACCAAACAAACATGTTTAAAAAGGGGGGAAATGTCGGTCCGTTTAAAAAGGAAAAAAACTTCTACTTCCCGTATAAAACGTATTTTTCCCGTATTTTACTAAAAACATAAACATGAATTGACCAATTGAATGAATGCACTAAATGCATAGAAGATCAACAATAGTGTAAAAGTAAAAATGAAAACGTCCTCCCCATGATCTCGTGTTTTTGTATTGTTACAGTGCAATTATTAAATACTAAAATTAATTGCATGATGGCTAAAGCTAACATCCTGAAATACTAAAACTTACGTAGTAATATACTACAAGATTTCTGATGTTTTTTCAAGCTAGCATATCAAAATTAAGATTTTTCTAAACCTACCGTTTTTTTAGCATAAACTTTTACACAAACAATAATAAGTGTAGCAATCACACAACTTTTTTCATATTTCATCTGTCATTTTAATGAAAATGATGAGTTTAACTTGAGTGTTATTTGATAATCATATAAAGATAATGTTTTTTTGACATTATTTATCAAAATTATGTCTTGGACTTAATTACTGTTTTTATTTTTGTCATCGACTTACACAATTACGAACTATTCTTGTATGTAGTAATGAGATTTGCTACTTGAATATGTGTATACTTTTATTTCTTTTTTACTATATATGTTATTTTATGAAATATATCATTTAAATGTTCAAAATATAATACCCGTATTTTTCGTCCGAATTTTTGTAATAGACAACGTATTATACACGTATACGTATTTACATGTTTTTTAAAAGTCAACGATTTTTTCAACGAATTTTTGACCATTTTTTTCATTCATGTTACCGAATAAAACGCGTACGTATTAAACCTCGTTTAATTCCCGTACCGTATTTAACTAACTAGGTCTAGAAGATGGTCCTTGGCTGTTTGAGAGATTTTTATTATTGCTTAAGGTGGTTGGTCCAAATGATATTCCCCATAAGATTAATTTGTTTGAAACTGAATTCTGGGTGCAAGTGCACAATGTTCCCTATAGTTTTATGAATATAGGTACTGCTAAAAAAGTGGGAAACTATATTGGGGAGTTCATTATGTTTGATGAGAGCCACTTTAAGGTAAAATGAGAATCTTATTTGAGGGTCAGGGTGAGGTTGGACGTGAGGAAGCCCTTAAAGAAGGGCTCTACCTTTACGAGAGGGGGAATTGGACACTGGGTGGACTTTAAATACGAAAAACTACCTAACTTCTCTTTCATTTGTGGGGTGATTGGACATTCTGAGAAATTATGTTCCTTGAAATATGAGGATGATATAGTTTTGGAAAAATCCTTTGGGGTAGAACTTCGAGCGGGGGGGGGGGGGGGGGGGGGAACAAGCCCCACAAGGGGTAATAAGTGGTTAGTGGAAAAACCGCCAGGTTTAACGCAGCAGAGGTGGATAGTTCAAACTTCAAAGGGGTGAAGGTTATGGGGGACAGGGAGGAGAGGCTACAGTTGATTCAGAGAATAGTGTCACCAAGGAAGAAGGCAGCAGAAGCGCTGAGAAAGTACCGGTGGACCAGAAACGCAGAAAGATATGGGAGTAGCAGGCACGAGAGGACACAACAAGGGAGAAGATGGCTCTGGATAGCACAAAAAATGGGGAGGCGGCGGGTCCGGGTTCCTAGACCCGCCGGTCATGACAGTGATGCTGCTTTTGAAGAAGACAAACTTTGGCTTTTATTTTATTGTAGTTTTGCATTTTAATTTCCATGTTGAGATTGTTGTGTTTGGTTTTTATTTCTTTTGTTATTCAATTCAATAACTTTTCTGATCTTTCATTTGACATTTATGTTGCATATTTAAATTTTGAGAATATTAACTGGAATAGGACTAAAACAGTTTGAAAATTCCAAAATAGGACTGTCATGTTTTTATTTCCAAAATAGAACTAATTACTGCCATGTTTTGACAGTACTAGATTTCAAACATGACAGTATTTTCCAAACTTGGCAGTAATTACTCTTATTTTGGGAATAAATATAGCAGACGTATTTTAGATTTTTCAAACTTTTTAGTCCTATTTCGGGAACTTTCTCTTAAATTTTTTGGAAAGCATTCTTTTTTAATTAGATATTTACTTTAATAGGGGTTTCCTTAAAATTACTATAGTCAAAAATATGATTTATGTCCAAGTATATCATAATAGTCACTACATTGTAAATATGGACATCATCATGACCACTGAAGTATAAAAAGTCACATAATTGTTCAATATCTTTATTTTAATTGTCTTTTTTTCTTTCTAATTTTAATGGTTCTTTATGTTACATCTGTAATGTAAAGTTTAGTTTGCTCAAACAAAGACGCATATTTAGTTACTTAAAGTTTAAACGTTTAGAGTTAATGTTTGTTTTCACACTTTTATTTTATATTGGGCAATTTTTGGACCTTTTTAATAAGCTTATGCTGTAGAGTGCAGAAAAACAAGTTAAATTCTTTTAACATAAAAGATATGTAGCATTTGTGGATTGGTATATTTTTTATATTTTAAATATACTAGTGGCTTCCGATATATGTAACTACTAGATTTTTCATCTGTGCGTTGCACGGGATGAAGTTAATAAGCATTAAATTATTTCAAGAGATAAACAAATGTTATGGTAAAATAAATCTTTATATAAATTGTTTCTTCACCAACGTAAATAATATAAGAGTTGCACAATTATATATACACTTCCCGAAAACAATAGTTAAATTAAAGTCGTGTTGGTCAACTTTCCATCATCATCACATATAATATACTTCAATCTTGAAGTGGACGTTATTCTTGAAACCATGACGTACACTTGTCTTTTGGTGAAAACCAGACCTTATTTAAATTTTATTTTGTGATTTGAAATTTATTTTAGTAAATAAAAAATTGATAAACGCAATTTAGTTAAAATCCTAATTAAAATACTACTATGTTAGGAGAAAATGAGAAATGTAAACCTAATTACTATAAAGTATCTAGATACAAAACTAATTAGGAGTGTATTCAGAAATGGGATAAGGGTCAGTTTGGTCATCGAAGTTGCAAAAAAGGGGTCAAATAAGTCCTTATATAGAAAATTCTGTCTCGACGTGCCATTTGAGGTGGCTCCCGGTGAAATTTTTTGATTAAATTTTTTGAGCATCTTATTCATTAAGTCTAGTTTACTCATACCAAATTTCAGATAAAAATTCAATCGGGAAGACATTCAAATGAATTCTTGAAGATAACTGTGCCATTAAAAGCGCAGTTATCTTCAAGAATTCATTTGAATGTCTCCCCGATTGAATTTTTAGCTGAAATTTGGTATGAGTAAACTAGACTTAATGAATAAGATGCTCAAAAAGTTTCATCAAAAAATTCTATCGGGAGCCGCCTCAAATGGCACGTCCGGACAGAATCTTCTATATAAGGACTTATTTGACCCCTTTTTTGCAACTTCGAGTACCAAACTGACTCTTTACTCATTCAGAAATTTGTGTGACCAATTAGTCATTACTAAACATTTTGAAGTCCCTACATAATGGTGCAACAACTTTCAGTCAATTTTCACAACCTAGTGAAGGATTAGCACCCATATTCCAATGGTGCAATAAGAGTATTTGTGGCAGCAAATTGATTTTGATGCATCACTTATCTGGGATCAAGTACTTTATCACTTGAACCCTTCATATATAACCAATAATGAGATACTAAGTTGGGGGTTTTGTTCTGTAAAATGATTTTGTTCTTAATTTGAACCAGTCCACCAAGAGTACTTCCGGTTTCCTATACAAAATTAAATCCAGAGAAGTTTATGAAGTGATGACAAATATTCCACTAATATTCTACCACGGGTAAAGAAATAAAAAGTAGTCGGTGTTGTGTTATCTTGTTGCACATTTGTATAAATTGTTGGAATAAATCTATTTAAACCGTAATTTTCATATTGGACATAGTTAGAGAAATAACTGAGCGGAAGCATACCGGCCCCATTGGAGACGGTCGTTCAGATCCCAGGCAACGGAGGCTAGGGTTTGTGTCTTCTAGTTGATACACGCCCTCCAGAATTATCTCTCTAACGATGAGATGAAGAAAGATTGAATGGTGTGTACAACTAAGGATCATAACTTTTCTATTTATAGGGAATGCTTAACCCTGATTAGCCCATCATTAATTAGGATTAAGATCATAAGTCTCTATTATACACGTTTGGGCCCTATACTTTATAAGATAATGAAATTAGCCCACTTAAATTAATATTCGTAGGACCACTAATTTTGGGCCTAAATATAAGATAACATACAACATAATGAACATACAACTAAACCCAATAAATAATATATTGTGAATATTACATTTAGTTTGAGTCCATTGGGGAGGGTTCTAGTAAGAACCCCCCCCCCCCCCCCCCCCCCCCCAAAATGAGAACTCATTTATAAATGAGAACTCTTAATCTCCATCTTTGATATATCAAATCAAGGGCTTTAATGCACATGAGGTCTTTTTTGTAATAAATTTATAATAATTACAAAAAGTACCCCATTTGAAGTTTTAATAATTACACAAAGGACCCCATGTGTATCCTACCAACGATTGAATAAAATCAAAAGTAAAGATTAAGAGTTCTCATTATAAAGGGTTCTCATTTTAGGAGGGGTTCTCACTAGAACCTTCCCCTGAGTCCATTAATCTAACATAAATATATATTTCTATTGTAGTATTAGATTCATTAAAGAATGAAAGATATAATTATGCAAAATATATGGTGCTTCAAATCATTAATGCTTTTAGCTAAAAGTGAATGAAATTTCAAGGCTCAATGCAGAAGAACCGCATATTGCAACCTACACTTTTCAACTTCTGCAACCACCTTGTTCATGAAACATAGTAAGCAAACTTCAGCAAAAAACCAATTAGGATGAGAAATCTAAATTCAGAAAATGTTTAAACAACACCGCTACTTAGTCTATGTGGGTTGAACGACATAGCCACTCAATCACGAAGAAGAAGAAGCCACGATCTTTTGCGTAATGAAGATTTGAAGCGGAAAATGAAGAAGGAAGAAATGGAGACCGAAAAAGGGGAGAGGGTTACGATCGAGGAGGTGATATCTAAGGCGTACCTTAGGTCGAAGTAAATCGAACGGTTGAAATTGCTAAATGGTTTGAGCGGAAAATGAAACAATCCATTAATCCATCATCCATCTGACAGAACGCTTCCGTCACCTTCCTCGTAGGTTGCTTCTGATCGAATCCGTCTCTTTGATTGAAACAATGAAGAACGAAGGCCGAGATGTTATCCTCTTTCCTCCAAAGTTGTGTTAATGATGAGACACATTAAATTGTAATTTCATCCATGTTGATGTTGACGCTTTAGTGGCAAGGGTGACTCCGTTGCTCGTTTGAGTCTGGCTCCATGTGTGTGTCTAATGTCATACAAATACTTTGAACACTATTTCGTTTGCATTTCAGTGATATATTGTTAACCTACAATGAATGTTTAAGGTTTGTGTTGATGTCATTAGTGTCAGTGTCATTCATGTCACCTCCTTCTGTTTTGAAGTCCCTTTTTGTTTTGTGTTATGCTATTGAAACATATAATTCTGTAGTGTGTTTTTCTGTATAGTTTTAGCCAAAACGTTGCAGACTTGCAGAGAGTCAGTGATATTCGCACTCATGTTTATATAAGATAAGACATGAAAACCACTCATTTCCTTGAAATTATGTGAGCCGAGTCATTTATGTTTTGACGTTTATGTAAGGCTTTATTTTTATAAAACCCTGGTGTTTGCATTCATGTTTAGATGGCATGAAAACCCCACTTCTTCCCTTGTAATTATGTAAGCCACATCGTTTATGTCTTGACGTTTCTGTAAGATTACTATTTACGTAAGCCCCGTCATTTATGTTTTGAAATTTCTGTAAAGATTTGTTTGTAGAGAATCAGTGGTGTTTGCACTCATGCTTTGAAGATATGAAAAATCACTTCTTCCCTTGTAATAATTATTTATGTTTGACGTTTCTGTAAAGCTTTGTTCGACATGTGTTAGGATATCGTCATCATCTATTGTTGATTGTTCCCATGTAAATAGAATTTGACTAAACTCGGCCGTAGGTTGAACAAGAATTGAAGAAATGATAAGAAACATATGTATATTGTTGATAATATAGTTTTTTTTTACCATAGAAAAAATCTTGGCAAACAAGTTCTATTACATATTACTTACATTGCGGTCTTGATATTTCAAAATGAGAAGCAAGTGACAAGAAGAAAATATGACAATCTCTAATGCGTGAAACTATTTAAGAAGTGAAATAAAAACAACACATTGCCAAGAGATAATACTCAAACCTAGTAACCGCCCTTGAGATCATTAACAACATCATACAGAATGGGTGTCACAGTCTCCAAGGTAGCACTTGCTACCATAAATCCGGGTTGGGGACCTTTGGGTTGCCTTTTAGTACTAATCACCACACCTTTAGCCTTTGCCTCAACCTTAAGCCAACCATTTTCTTTCACCCTCTGCTTAAACTCCTCAGCACACCTGAATGCTTGAACGTGCTCTATGCGGACATGAAGCCTCTTTTTTAGGATCTTGTTCCTAACCTATTTGTTCACTTCGACACCAACTGCACGCTTGGTGACGTTCCAGACGCGTCCGGTGCGGCCATGGTAGAAGTTGTGAGGCATAGTCTCAGACGCGGAGGACGCGAAGATGGGGCCGTGCTTCCTAAAACCACGTTGGAAGAGGTCCCATGTCCTCGCCCGTACTCCGTGACCAGCCGACAATTTCCTCTTCCTCCGCCTCTGACTAGCTGCTCCGTACGAGTATATTGTTGATAATATCGTATGAGTCTAGAAATATATCTGAATTAGAATGCGTGTGATTTACAATATGCTTCACTCATATTTATAGGAGAAGTAATTAATGTCCCTCTGGGCATTTCGCGCTATTGACGGTTTGATTCGACAGTTTCGTTTGTCGTGACAGCTTCACACTCATCATAAAGACTAGAGTCAACTCAAATTAATTGACCTCCTCCTTAATTACATTAATCATGGTATTAATACATAAAAACGTTCTAACAACCATCATTTGGTCTTATATGCCATTAATTCCATGGTTAATTCTCCAACAATTGCCCGTCTCAAATATATGAAGTCGTGTGATCTAAAACCTCTTGCCGCAGATCACAGGATCAAGCGAACAATCGTAATAAGGTTAACATTATGTCCTTTACTTAACGATCGTTATGTAGAGTAAAGGTAATTTAGATAATTGAGTTATTTTTATTTATTACGTAGTAGGGAGTATTATTTAAGATTAAAGATGTTTTTACTTGTACTGTAACTTATCCCAGACCAGACCAAACTTGAATAGACCAGACCATACCAAACTTAGATAGTCATAAAAATACAAAGAAACCAGATCGGACCAAACCAGATCAGACCAGACCAAACTTAGATAGTCATAAAAATACAAAGAAACCAGATCAGATCACATCGGACTGAAATTTTAGAAATTCACTCCATTCTAATTAAAATAGACGTGTTTGTTTGAAAAGCTGAAAAGGGCTTGAACTGGAATACAAAGTTTTCACATTCCAGACTTCACATTCCCATCGTATCCTTCATACACCTCTCCTACGAATTCCTCCCCAATCGACTGCCAAGGTAGAGCTCTCCAGATTATCAGGTATGAATTCCTTACCCTAATTTCTTTGCTGATAACACATATATATCCTCCGTAATCTCCAACTCCAAGGTATCAACTTATATGCTTTTTCACTCTCCATCATATCTATGCTTTATTCGTTGCGCTACTGACTATAAAGAATGCCATCAATGTTAAAAAATCTGGTATGAAAAAAAAATCTGGTTTGAAATTGTTTTTAGTAATTGCTTGTGTCGACCAAATTAAACTCTGGAATGTGAGGTTCCCTTTGAACAATTACTCCGTATTAGATACCACGTTGTTGTGATTTTTGCTCTCCACTTTGTTATTACTATTATTATGATGAAAAGTAAAAGAAAAGATAACCATATTGATTTATTTGATTAGAATTTAGGAACTTGCTATAGCAAACTAAAGGGTTGTAACTGCTGATAAAAATGCAGAGTAATAAAATAAGGTGAGGTTAATTTGACTTTTCAGAAATATTATATATATATACGCAAATGCATATCTATAAATGAGTACTCTTCCGGTCAGGAATTGCTGACCGGAACCGCCGTCCGGACGGCGGCGTTTGGCCGCCTTCCCAGTGGAATTTTTTGATGAAATTTTTATGAAATGTTTTCCATCAAGTCTAGTTTATCCACAAAAAATTTCAGCCAAAAACTCATTCTGGAAGGTCGTCAAATGATTTTTGCAAATTAACTGGTCCGGAAAATACATATTCTGGACCAGTTAACTTGCAAAAATCATTTGACAACCTTCCCGATTGAGTTTTTGGCTGAATTTTTTTGTGGATAAACTAGACTTGATGGAGAACATGTCATACAAATTTCATTAAAAAATGCCACCGGGAAGGCGGTCAAATGCCGCCGTCCGGACGGCGGTTCCTGTCCGGAATTCCGGACATGAACATTTGTGTCTATAAATATATGCACTAAAATTATTATACGTAGCAATAAATATTTCATACGAAGTATTATTCTTGCATTTTTTCAGCTCTTTTTGCCAAACGGATCTACTTCATTCAGCTAGCAATTCAGATTCAACACTTCAAAGTTCAGCTCCAGACAATAGTTTGCGTTTCAAGCCTCTAATTCAGACATTAGCCTCCAGTTCCAGCTCGTTGTGCTAAACATAACCCAAGTAAAAACATCATATATCTACTCTGTACTCCCTCTATCCCATTTTATCCGTCCTACTCTCTTTTTTGGGTTGTCCCAAAATAACTGTCTCATTTCCTTTTTTGGAAAGAAATATGTGGCCTACACCATTTCACTTTATTATACTCAAACCTCAACCACAACTTTTACTTTTTCAACCACTTCGTTAATAACCGTGCCAAGTCACACAAAATTGGGACGGAGGTAGTATTAAATAAAATTCCGTATACTTGCTTCAAAGTCTTGCGTCAATTTATTCACTCCTAAATCCCAATTTTAGTCATTTATTCTGATTCTTCTTTGGGATAGTTTCGAGTTTCGACCATGACCACTTCGAAGCGAAATCACAAAGAGAAGACAATTCGTCGCAACAAGTACGTTCCTGAACATTTTTGCTTTTGAAATATGCTCTGTCGTCCTCGTTGAGGTTTAGATTTTCTATCGGAGATTATTTATCTTCTTTTAGATACGTGCTTAGTTCGTTTTTTGGTTGATTTTTATTGCTGTTATAAGAAAGCGTAACAATTTGTGGATTTATTTATGGTTATATGTTGTTTATTTGGAATGAATGAATGAATTGCTCAGAGAGGAGAAAGCTGAAGAACCAGAACTACCCAAGTACAGAGACAGAGCCAAAGAGAGGAGAGAGGATATAAATCCTGATTATGAGCTTAATGAATTGGGTGCGTTTCATGCCGTTGCTCCCCCAGGCAATGTGGATATTGGGTGAGGCTCCAAAACCTTTATAAGCTTTTGATTTATTAATAAATCTTCATTTTTACTTATATATGTATTTGCTTGAACATTGGCGTACCATCACATTCAATATGATGATGAATGTTGAGTTGTTTACCTTCATTTTTACCATGTCTGCAGTTCTGCTGATGCTCACAAGTTATCTATTGAGAAGAGCAAGTATCTTGGAGGTTGGTCTACTTGCCTAATATTAAATTCTGGTGGAAAGGATGTTTTCTGCTTTTCAGTTTCCTTTTTTAATGGTTGACAGTAAGATGCTACTGCATTGAATAATGGCTAAAGAAATAAAATAAATAGAACAATTAATATGAATGGAAGAATATGAGTGAGATGGGAAATAGTGATGTGCTGGTAGTAATAGGTGAGAATAATTTCTTGTTCTTATACTATTGCACAAAAATGAATAACCACTGCATAAATTATTAAATTGACATGCCTTTTTGATGGATTGCGCAATCAGGTGATGTGGAGCACACACATTTGGTTAAAGGGTTGGATTATGCTTTACTTCATAAAGTGAGAAGTGAAATAGATAAGAAGCCTGATGTTGGAGATGACCCTGATGGGAAATCTAGGTTCATTTCATTTTTTTACTGACTTTCTGCCATTTTACTTCATCGCTTCATTAGCTATATAAAGTGAATTCAATGCCAGATTACTCTAACATCTTGATTATGAGTTTTGCCTGACTTTTCCCTCTTCTGTATACAGGGCACCTAAGGAAGACCAAACATTGGCTTTCCGCACTGCAACTGCGAAGGTTCACTAGTTTATAGATGCTTCCAAATCTTATTTATCCTATCGTGATTTATCTAGTGATCTATATTGGGACTTGTCTTGCAGTCAGTATACAAGTGGATAGTCAAGCCTCAGACTGATGTAAAGACCAATGAAATGTTCCTTCCTGGGAGGATGGCTTTTATATTTAACATGGTAAGCCTACCAAATTTCCAGTTATTATGGCTATGTATAACTTTATTCTACGTGCATGAGTTAGGTGTTCATGTACATGTATGTCTCAGGAAAGTGGGTTTTCACATGACATTCCGACAACACTTCACAGGAGTAAAGCTGACTGCCCTGTTCCTGAGGTGCTTCTTTCAGTTATCCCCCCCTCCCCCTCCATTCTTAAATACTCCCTCCATCCCAAATTAAGCTTCTCACTTGCCTCTTTTGAACGTCCCAACTAAAGTTTCTCATTTCTATTTTAGGAAACAATTAGCACTCTTAAATGACAACTATATCATCAAATAGTAAAAATAATACACCTATAACATCACAATGATCATCAATAACCTCATTTAATTATATACTCATCAAAGTTACTTCTCAAAATATACTCGAGTAACCTTATTTAATTATTGTCTAAATAACCATGTCATGTTTCGTTGAGAAGCTTAAGCCGGGATGGTGGTAGTAACTATTTAAGAATATATAGTGTCTTTATCCTCTCGACCATCTATAGCATGACCTTCAATCATCTTTTTACTCTTACTACGTGTTCAGGAAATGGTTACAGTCAGTGTTGATGGTTCCGTCTTAGATAGGATAGCTAAAATTATGACATATCTCCGCCTTGGATCATCTGGGAAAGTTCTCAAGAAGAAGAAGAAGGAAAAAGATGGAAAAGGTTATTGTGTTGTGATTTTCATTCATGCTTACAAGCACTTAATTTGAATTCTTTTATAGTAGTCATTTTTCTGTTTTTGGTAAAACATCATGGTTCCTTTATGCTGCCCTTTTCACTGAATTGTTTGTTTTTGTTTTTTAACTAGGGGGATGTTAGGGCCTTAGGGGTTCTGGGGTGGTGATCGTTTAGGTTAGGTTATCTGAACTCAAATTTGGATGTCCGAGGTTTTAGGGGCTTAGGGATGTAATTTCTTTAGAAATTTTGGGTAGCAAATTTTATCCAAATTCTGAGTGTTTGGCAGGATGAATTAATGAAGAGTGTAGGCAGAAAGACTAGAAGTGCATATTTTGGGACAAATAAGTGATTTTCGTATGCTATGTAGTCAGTTCTGACTTCTGAGAGGCTAAAATGACTGGTGGAAAACAATGATGGGGGGAGATTTTTTCCCTTTATATTATTTGTCCCGAAACCCAAAGCCAAATTTTGTAAATTGCTAGCTGAAATTTTTATCTGGCCCTAACGGACCATCAAATTTGGGTAGGGGCTGGGGTTCAGGTCTTGTTTTTTTCCCCACCCTTGTCAATAGCAGTGCAGGAAACCTTATAGGAAAATGGCTGAGTGTCCCCTTCTCCCCCCATAAAAAAGAAAATAAAGAGATGCCCTTTTCTCTTGTCAGTTAAATACAAATCTCTCTCTTCTAGGGTTGTCTATCTAGACATAATCTGTTTTAAGAACTCTGAAGTGTATGTCTTCAAATTTATATACTTCTAGTTGTGTTCTGACAATATGTTGCACCTTTCAGGAAAAATTTCTGGTTTTGTAAATGGTTACGAAGAGAACAATAATATATCAAAATCTGATGCAATGAAGAACCATATTGACAAAGCAACTGCGTTGCCCGCTCATGAATCTTCTAAAAAGAATCATCACAGTGAGTTTAGGGAGAAACAGGGTCCCTCTGTTGCTAGAGTTGAAGAAGAAGATATATTTGTCGGAGAAGGAGTCGACTATTCTATCCCTGCTGTAGATCCAAACCAGAGCCCTATATCAGAGGATATGGAAGAATCCCCTAGAAATAAAGAGAGAACCTCATATTTCGGTGAACCTGCTGCTGCCTATGCCTCAATTCCATCATCTGAACCACATCATGGTTGGCAAGCGGTGAGCTTGATTGTGTGACAAATCCTTTTTTTCTCCTTTCTACATGGAATTCAAATACAGGCAATATTGTCAAATGGTGACAATGGGGAAATAATGTGACATTCCCCCCATCCACCATTATCCTTGAGCTCGTCTGGTAGGCCTAAAATGGCTGAAATGGTGGAAATGTGGAGGAACCAAGAGAATCTGCTGAATTATCTAAGAGAATATTGAAAATACATACTCCCTCCGTCCCGCTAACAATGGGACAAGAGGGAGTGACACGCAAACTAATAAAAAGTGAGTTATGTGGTTGATATTGAATTGATAAAGTAAGAATAAAGTAAGAATAATTTGGAGCTACACAAATTTTGCCTAATTTGATATGGGACAATCTTAGTGGGACGGACCGAAAAGGTAAAATGGGACAATCTTAGCGGGACGGAGGTAGTATAATACTAAATTAAAGAAATTTCATATAAAATTAGAAGTTTCCATCATTTCCAATGGAGCCAAAGAACGCTATTTTTGGCTTGGAAATATGATTGAATAAAGCAAAATGGTTCACTAAACTGTCTCGCTTCTTTGTTATGAAAACAGTCAGTCCATCCATTTCAACGCATTTTCACCACGGGTCATCCGGAAAATGTGCTTTAGTACAGGGTAAGGCTGTGTACATCTGACCCCCTTACCCACCGTAGGTGGGAGCCTTTGCGGCACTAGGGTTATGATGATGATGATGATGAACATATAAAATTGGAAATTCCTAACAAATTTCCTTTAGACTTTTGAGGAACAAGAAGTAGAAGTTTTCATAGGGATGGAAGAAATGCATGTGCCTATGAATTTTAATTAAGAACTTTCTCCTTAACCAATGGCCAATGCTTTTAGGGTATTCATTTGCAAGACCAATGTAAGTAAAGCTAAAAGTAACAATTCCATACGTAGTTGATAATGAAAACATGTAGTGCTTAATTTACTTTTAAAATGGGAGAAATTGATACTTTTATCTTTTCTTTCTTTGATAGATAGATGTTACATTTTTTTTATTTAAATATATATTTCAAATATTTGTAAGATAATACAGTAGATTCAACCAAACAAGCCATTTCAGCTACTGCTTCATTCATTTTGAGCCTTACTAAACACTCTTAGTGTTCGGTAAAAATCTTGTTGCTAAGACAACATTGAAGGCTACCAAAAATTGACTCAGATTCTAGTTTTACTATTCTCATACATGCCCCATCCCATCATGTAATTCACTGTTAGCAACACCTTTATTTATTTTTCTGGTACAGAATGGGTATGAAGCTGTTCAAGCACAGGCCTTTGGTGGGGTGTATCCACCTGAGTGGCAGGATTATCAATATGCTGAGCAAGTGGGGTATCCAGACCAATACCTCCAGCAGACCTATGATGCACAAACCGGTTCAATCATTCTTCAGGACCCGCAATTGATGACCCAAGAAGAAAAGGATAGAGGTTTAGGGTCGGTGTTTAAGAGAGACGATCAGAGGCTTCAACAGCTAAGAGAGAGAGATGCCCGGGAGAAGGATCCCAACTTTGTGTCTGAGAGCTATTCTGAGTGTTATCCTGGCTACCAAGAGTACAACCGTGAGGTTGTTGACAGTGACGATGAAGCTGATTTGACAAAGATGGATATGGGTGGACGTGTAAGTTTTTTCTTTAATGAATTAGGGTACTTGAAAGTTAGGAGCTTCTTTGGAATAACTTAAGGTTAATCAATTTTTGACACTTTCTTTAAAAAGCTTAAGAAGTGTTTCCTCATGCTTTCATAAAAGAACATTAAGTGGGTTTTTACTTTTAAAAGCACCTATTTCCATTTCCTGCCTCTAAAAAGCAATTTCTTTCTAAAGTTAGTCATCTCAAACACCCATAAAGATTTAAATGTAGAAAAATAGGATGTTTTGAAGTGATTTGAACATCTTTTCTGTGGAAAATGTCTTACAAGGAAAATAAGTTGATTTAGGTATAATGTATAAAGTTCTATGCATGCACTGATAAAAAATTGAACTGTTTTATGAAAATGACCTGTTTTCAGAAGAGGAAGCCACTTTCCACCGGAGTTAAATAAACATGTATATGAAATTCTAGAGAACAATTTTCTGGAAAATAAATTATTGAAAATTGATTAGTTGTCATCTTATACAGGCAAAAGGACGACTTCATAGGTGGGACTTTGAGACGGAAGAAGAGTGGGCATCATACAATGAACAGAAGGAGGCAATGCCTAAAGCTGCATTCCAGTTTGGTGTTAAAATGCAAGACGGGAGGAAGACCAGAAAGCAAAACAAAGACCACAAACTCAACAATGAGCTCCATAAAATCAGTAAATTACTTGCCCGAAAGAAGATGGAGGAGAAAGGTGGTGGTGGTGGAGGGGACTTCAACGAGGACGACTCTCATCCAGGAAAGAAACTAAGAGTTTGATGTTTATTTCAATTTATTATTATTAGCGTGTATTAGAATGTTGTGCCTTCTTTATGAACCTAAGATTTCATTTGCAAGTTATTTTCCCAATCATTTCCTTTTTGGTACACCACGGGCTTATATTGTGATAATGGTATTAATGTATTATTATTATAATTACTATTATTATCAAGTCCACAGTTACAACTCCTACCTTTTATGCCGAACAAACATTTCAGCCCATTTTTGCCCTGTACTTCCATTGAATTAAAGGATACTGAATTACTGATGTTTGGAAAAGGAAATCCCAATTTAGCACAGCATTTTTGACCTTTTCGGTTTCATTCACATACACAAAAATGCTGTTATTTAGGATATTTTTACTTGGATTGAAATTTGCCGAATTTGCCGGTCTAGTCTAAACTAAAAATAGATTTATAATATCATAATAAGTAGTCTTTCTCTATGCTTTATTCTGGTTCTTTATATCTTGTGGCATTGTTGGCTTTGTACAGTTGGTTCGCAGAATTAAGGTTATATGCTGAGTTAAACTTTGTTTTCATGGTTTTGACTTTTGAATGTTTGAGAAATTTGTTTCGGTAGAAATTAATCAGATGTTGGAACAAAAAGACCATTTTTTGTTGCATTAATACGATCTTTTTTTGAAAATTTTACATCTGTCTCATTCAAGTTCACTAAATTTAAATGTAGTTTAATTAACAATTAAATTTTAGAATGAAAAATGATACGGAGTATAGTAAACTAGTAAGAGTACAATTGTATATAATTGTGGGGTCAATGAGTATTACGTGGGAAAGGTTGCAATATTTTGTAATATGTAAAAGTAATTTTATTAATATATCAACCATTGTTTGAATATTCTGATCGACAATTTCTTTTTTATGGACAACAATTTCATTTATATAGACTGACATTAAAACTTTAATTATAACTTCATTTATCATACACATGATTAAGAATAAATAAATCAATACGAGACATACGACCAAAGCCAAACTAGAATTTAACAAGTAGTTTTGTTTTTCAGTTTTGATGTAATTTCTTTACATTTTTCAATGTTTAAGAAACCGGACCGGGATGTGACCCGGCCGCGTGACCGGGTCACGGGTCAACACGGACCCGGTCGGGTCAACCCGGTCAACGCTATAAAAACGGTCAACCATTTAACAATAATAAACATATAATTGTATACAAAATTAAAATAAAAAGTAGTTTTTCATATTAATCAACTAATAATAATACTAGTACTTACTATACACTTAAAAGTTAAAAGCCTCATAATATTCCAAAATGCTATTTTGATCTTATAAAAATATATTATGATACTCCATGTATTTTTTTATTGGACATTTATTATATAATTTGACATGATTTTTATTCTTAAACAAATAAGTAGTATATAAATATTTTGCATATTTATTATTTTTAGGGTATTGGAATTGCAATTTTATTGGTTAAAAATGCTTTTAAATTTAAAAGAAGAAGAAAAAAACAAAACCAAGTTTATCCGGGTTTATCAGGTTTTTCGGGTCCGGGTTTGGACCGGATTAGCCCGAATAGGCTGGGTTTTTCCAATTTTTGACCATTTCCGGATTTTTAATTAACCGAACCAGGCTTCGATCCGGGTTGCTGGGTTTCGGGTCGACCCGGCCGGGTCGGGTCGGTTTTTAAAGTTATGTACTCCGTGTGTTCCATATTACTTGTACTAGATGGTATACCTTGTTGATTGGATATAATATAAAGCTAATTCTTCCATGTTAACACAAAATTTGCAAAGTGAAACAAATGACATTCGTACACAAGAAAAATATGAGGTGGATATAAAAACGTGTACAAATGACATTTTGACGAGCACTTTATCACGGTGCGTCAAAATAAATTCAATATTAGCACTAATATGCAGTATAGTGAAGTAGAGTTCGTATCCACAGAGAAATGAATAATTCTCTTTTTAGTAAAACTAGTAAATAAGGGTTTTGGGATTGAGTGATTTAATTTAATTAAATACGAAGATGAACGACTTATATGAGTTTTAATTCAAAGATAAAAAGGACTTGACATTGCTACTTTCCACTTATTGATATATTTTAGTCGATCATTGTTATATCTATAACTTATCCACTCTCGAATATTCAATCGAGGAGTATATTCAATTCATCGAGGGTAGTTATTAACAACGACCGTTCATTAATAACCCTTACTATTAGTCAAGTATAGAACACCGCCATATATCGACTTGATAGTAGCATTTAATCTCTTAACTCCTTGATGAAATCAATTGAAATTGATAACCTCAACGCAACGGTTTCGGTTTAACCAACAAAATTAATTCCTCTTAAGTTTATTAACCACGACCGTGCATTAATAAACCGAAGTTACTTACTTGTGAAACCATCAAGGATTGACAAGCGTATTCGTCGATCGATTCTAGTAATAATTAATATATGAAAAAAAACTAGTTGATCCTTTAAGTAATGTTCAAAATATTAATATGAAATATGAATAGGAATTAATTAATATTCAAGCAAGAATATTAGATGATAAATCCTACTATAACTAATGTCAAGATGTTAACTAATTGTCATCTTAGCAACACTCCCCAACATTAATATATAGGAAGTAAATGAATACTACTATAACTAATGTCGATATGTTAACTAATTGTCATCTTAGCAACACTCCCCAACATTAATATATAGATAGATTAGGGGAAGAATTAATATTCAAGGGAAGAAGTTAAGAAAATAACTCACAACTTTAATAATCAACAAACTTCAAGAGCAACACCAAGAAATGGAAGTTTAGCTCCTCATTTGGAGACTAAACATGCTATAAAAATATAAAAGAAATACTATTCTAAGTTGAGCTTAGGAGTATGGAAGAAGGAGTGATTTTTTTGTGAAGGAAAAGGGGTGTATTTATAGGTGTTTGGAGGTGGCAGGGTTGTGTACCCGATCGGGTATATATGGTACTCGATCGGGTATTTTAGGCAGTTTCCCGGAAAATCACTTTTCTAGACATACCCGGTCGGGTATGTAGGCATACCCGGTCGGGTATGAGCCAAATCTTCAAAATCCTGCATGTTTTTTTTGTCTCTCCAGATTCTGATTTTGACACCCGAATCAACTCAATACCCGATCGAGTATTGCCTATACCCGATCGGGTATATGAAATATTTTCTCAATCTTCTTTTTATCTTGTCCCCTTGCACCTTCCTTGATCTTTTGGGGTCCAATCTTGGTCCTTTGGATGATCTTGACCTGTTCTAAGCTCAGAATAATCCTAATCTAAACAAATTACATTTATATAGGAAAATAAACTAATTACACCAAAAGTGTGTAACTTTCCAAACAACAACAAATAAAACTAGTTAAAATAGAAATAATACATAATAAAAATACAACTTTATAAACTCCCCCATGCTTAGTTTCTTTACTCGTTCTCGAGTAAAGTCAATGTTTTATCAACACTTTAAACAATCATGAACAAGCAAAAGACAACCAAGTAAGGTTTAAAAGGTGTTTTACAAAGTGAAATGATTCCACTTATGCAGTACACACTTCATGATATTGGGTTTACTTGTCTTCTATGCTTTCCATGTTCCTCTTCATCATTGTATCACCACATCCCTGTAAAAATAATTTCTCTCATTTCTCTCATTTTGCCTAAGATTTTTTTTTATCCTAGCCTCTCATTTTTTTTCTTTCTCCCCTACTCACTCATTTTTTTTTCTTTCTCCCCTACTCACTCATTTTTTTTTGCTTTTATTGCTTAGATTGCCCATTTGGGTTTTCAACCTAACTAACCTTTTTTATGTTTTTTTAACAAGAATAAAGAGTATGAGTGTGAGTATTCCATGAAACTCTCCCCCCAAGCTAGCCAAAGCACTGTCTCTAGTGCTCATCTTCAAGACGTCATAGAAAAGGAGAATTCGGACTTGGCGTAGGTGGAGTTAAGAAATTCAGATTTTGGATTATTTGGTGGGTTTTGTTGGTATAGAAATGAAAAATGTGGGGAGGATAAGAAGAATATGAGTTTAGTTTGTTGATTTGGTGGATGTATGAAGAAGATATGAAAGTGTGAAATTGTAACTATGGAGGGTTTGGGGTGTTGGGTTCAAATGAGGTGATACGATTTTTTTTTTTGAAAAGTGCAAAAATAAAATAAAATAAGTAAACATACCTTGCATGGGTTGCCTCCCAAGAAGCGCCTCGTTTAACGTTACGGCACGATGCCATCATTGTGTTCAATCGTTCAAACTTGGATCATGATAATTAATCTTGTTCAACTTTTCATTCCTAGGACATTCATAGAAATGCTCAATTTTCTGACCCTTCACTTTGAGAATCTTTTCAGGATCAAATATTCAGATTTCCATTGATTTATGTGGTGAGAGTGAGGGAAATGAATTATCATTTAACATGGTCAAGAGAAAATATTTTGATCCCTCAATTTTGCTGAAGATTTCAAAAATGTCATTATCCTTTTCATTTTTATGAGTTTCCCTCAAAGTTTGTAGAACTGCTGGGGGTACCTCAAAGAATGAAAAGGGTAGATATTTGACCTTGAAACTCGTTTCATCCCCTTCTTTGACCAACTGGAGCTCCGTGTCTCTTTCTTCTTCTACTTCTTCTGGATTTTGAATCTTCTTTTGCATTTCCTTCTCATTTGTCAATGTGATTGCAAAAGTTTGCTGTTTAGGATCACATTCTATTTGAGAGGGAAGTTTTTACGAATCCCTTGCTTCAAGCCTACTTACAGCTCCGGCTATTTGAATCACTCGAGTTTCCAAGTTTGAAATGCTAGACTTGGTCTCATTTTGGAATTGCACCGTGTTGTTTTGCATGGTGGTCATGTTGGTAGCAATAGCCCGGATCATATCCTCCGTAGACATGGTAGAGTTGGAGAACGGATCATACCTCATGTGAGGTACATCCCTTTCGTAACCAACATCATCAATTTGTTCAAGGTATTCATCTTGGAGCTTTGGGTAGAAATCCGTAAGATGCCTGTGAGACATGCAAATGTTGCATGTCTTGCAATCTTGAGCTTTTGAGCTTAAAATAAATTCCTTTATTAGAGAAGTCAAGAAGGAAATTTGACTCTCTAAGGATGAAGTGTTGGTATCCATATACTCATAACTCATGTAAGCTCAGAAAATAGAAGAGTAAGATTTTTTTTTCTTTAATTTTATTGTTTTTGATTTTTATGAGAAAAAATAAAAAGAAATATAATTGCCTTTCCCCGGCAACGGCACCAAATTTGACGAGCACTTTGTCACGGTGCGTCAAAATAAAT